AAAAACCGACAATTGGACTGGCATCATATCAAATACGCTTCCAGCCAGCACTTTACATTTTAATACCGCCAAGCGCCAAGTGCCTGCCCAACGCCCACATATCAGTGCAGCTATTCAGTGCTATTTTGTAGATTATATTAATTGCAGCGCCTCCAAGTCGCACAGGAATTGGGTAAATCATATCTCAAACTAACTGAAGCTGGGGCATGCAATAACCATAATTGAGCTCAAATGACATTGTTGAGCTATGCGCAAATATTTCGCATTCGATTTGCTGCGGTTGACATATTGTAACTGTGTGTGGCAAAGGTCCCAATGAAGACATTTGTTTGACTACATTTTGTATATATTGCACTTAATAATTTTATAAGTTAAATGACAGCAAAATGCAAATAGACTTTAATGAAGGTTCTTGTTAAGTTAAGATAAGCCACACAATTTATTTAAATAATTCAAATGATTTTTTAGGCTTTTCCAGGAATTTCAAATTTAAATTTAAATAAAATACCACAAATTATATACACGCATTTTTGATAACTTATTAAACGTAAAACTATAAAATATATATTCTATATAGTGATCGATATAATTATTCTCGCTCTAATCAACCAAGCTCAGTGCTAAGTTTCATATCAAAAATCGTTGTTTCTGTTTACTTAAATACATATATCATTACTTATATATATATGCTATCTCATCTCATATTATTTAGCCCCTTCAAAAGCTATTCAGAAACTTGACGCTGGCCACTAAACAATTTTGAGGTCACGCACTCAGGTAGGAATTCGCGCAAACCAGAAACGGAACTGGAAACGGCAGCGGAAAGGGAAACGGAAACGGACTCTTCCACTTTATATGATTTGCACTTGACAATCGAAATGTGCAGCTCACTTATTGCACTTATATAAGTAGTTGTTTCTGCGGCACACACACGCACGCACACTCACACACACACACTCACACTTAGACTTGTCTACGAAACGTGCAATATGCGATTTTTATATAAGCTGCAAAACTTTTGCAGCTTGTGGTCATATCTCGGAAGTTGGGTTTGACAAAAGGAATAGTAGATTGAATACATACATACATATATGTATTTATATATATATATATATATATATATATATATATCTATATAGCATAAAGAACTGGAGCATTGAAGGGCAACACGCTCACACGTTCATAAATGTAATGCAATTTCAAGTAGAACTTTTATTTAATTGAGTATTTCGGTGTTAAGGTTGTCCTCACACACACACACACCCGCACACACACACTCACAAGCTTCATGCGTTCTGTGGATGCTTTGCAAAAAACTTTGTGCGTCATTTTGGCACAAGCTGCTTTGCGGCTGCTCATTGTCTGAAAGAATTTAAATAGAATTGGGCTAAGCCGTTGCTGGAGCTCTTGCAAATATGTTACACAGGCTGACACCAGCTGAAGGTTGCATTGCCAGAGATTAAAGTGAATTATGAATTTTAAATGGAAGTCTGCATGCTTAGCATTTCGTTGGCTTAATTGTATGTTACACAAAGCCTGTACTGAAAAGCGAACTTTGCGCTCCAGACGGGAGTGAACTGCTATGAGATACCCGGAAGCACTTCAACTTGTGTAATACACAGCTGAGTCAGCTTACCAGCCTGTAGCTCTTATATCTAGACTCTGCTGAGAGAATATATATATATTTTCGAGATCTTACTGCCACTGTTTAGCAATACCTTTCAGAAAACATATTTTTTATTAACTGTTACTTATTATTTATTAACAATCTTTTGTAATTTTTTATTATTACTTTTTTATTTATTTTATTTTTTCCTATTAAATATAGCTGAAGATCACAACTCAGTTTTCAGTTGAAATAAATTTAACCTTATTTTCCCATAAATCGTTTAACCACAAAAAGGTAATTAAATAGAAATAGATTAAATGTTAAATGTAATTAAATCTGCTGACAATCAATACTGATGATAGTTTAAGTAGTATTTTTATATTAATTATTCATATATTTACAATTCAGCGTATATAAATATAATTAGCCTTGATTAATTATTTATTTCGTGCTGTTGCCTTGAACTAATGACCCTTTAATATATTTTTACATGCTCTTAATTAGCTAGAAATTAATTAGAGAATTCTGAGAAATAGTTGAGGAATTATTTTCATTTAAAGAACAGTCCAAAAAGAGTTCATTTCAAATTGAACACATTTTTGAAACTTATTTATGTAATGCATTTTGTCTAGCTCTATTTTGCTATTCATTTTCTATACATTTTATTGATTATTTTTTAAAAATTGCTATATATTGCTTTGCCAATTGAGTTCTGAGTGCAAATGTGTTGCAACGAATTTAGTAAATTGCTAAAAATTGTGAGAAATTCGGGCTATTCACATGTAGGACCAGTAAGCCATAAAAAAACAATGCTTAACAATAAATAAGCAGAAGCAAGGAGAAGCACACACACAGAGAGAAAGAAGAAGAGCAGGAAGACAAGGCAGCAGCTAACATGAGTTTATTATGCGCCACAAGGCATTATCTGACAGCTAACAGGACTAAGATATGTGTGTGTGTGTGTGTGTGTGTGGAGAGCGGCGTGTGTTCTGTGCAGTGTAGCAACAATTTATTTATGCCCAAAATGCGGCGCAATGAATAATTATGCAAATGGGTCAACTAGCGGTCAAGCCAAAGAATTTTGGCTGCCAACAGCAAAAACAAAAGAAAATAAAGTAAAAAGGGATAAGCGCTGTTGCAGCCACTGCAGCAGTTACAAATTACAAGTTTACACAGTTTCGACCCAGCAAATGTAGTTTGACCAAAATATGACCATTAAGGCTTAACGTTTAGCTGCGAGTCCAGTTCCTGCAGTTCGAAAGCCAACTTCTTGAGCAATGCTTCTGCATGTCGCTGGCAGTCATAGATTTGAACTAAAAAGTTGGCGCTTTTGTTTTCTTGCTTTTGGCCAGCAGCGAAGTCCAGCGAAAATAATTAACAACTTTTCGCCTCTTGGTCCAAAATAAAAAGATTTTCAACTAGGTTTTATTTTGATTTTTTTTTATTTTGTTTAATCTTTCTCGCGCCTTTTGTCGCCCGACTTGGGCCAAGTGCAAGTCCAAGTCGAAGTTTTTCAGCGCAAACTTTTTGTTGGCTTTTGATAGAAACTTCAACTTTTTCGTCTGTCGCACTTTGATATTTGAGATCTTTTTAGCTTTAGCTGTCTGGCAGGCAGCTCATGAAAACTTGCGCCCCAAAAGTATCTACGCAAAACTCACAGCTTAATCGTTTGCAGTTGTTTTTTTATTATTTTAATTTAATTTTTTATATACCCTGTAATTATGAAAACAGCATAGTATATGAAAAATAATAAAAAAAGTCGAAAAAGTAGATAAATTATTTGTGTTAAGCTATTTAATTACTGTTGTTCCTCAAAAAGTTAAAACTAATTTTCCTATATTTTATATAAATTTCGTATATTTTATATGACTGCAAAATAGCATTGTAATGCCTAATATGTACTTTAAATCATTTTTGATTTTTGATATTTTGCTCATACTCTCTCTGGGCCTACTCAATTTACAGGGTATGCGGCAGCTGCTTACTTAGTCAACCAAAACATTTCAATTCATGAACTTGAAGCGAAAAAACTGTACCCAAAAATGCGTAAAATTTTATCTCGAAATCAAAAGAAACTTTATAAAATCTGCGCTTTAAATTATAAATTATATATATATATATATATATATATATATCAGCTGCATAATATTTATTACGTATAACTCGAGCAGCTGCTGCTTCTGCTGCTGTTGATGCTGGCGAATAAATCAATATCGCATTAACTGCTTAGTCCGCCAAAACTTTTTGCCTAAATATCCCAAAGCACATAAATAACGAAATGTCAAAAAGTTTTTGTCCAACATTTCTTTAGCCAAATTAAACTGGCTTCGCAGTCAACTGCAAATGTTGCGGCCATCTTCTATATTGGACCTGAGAAATTCATTTCGAACAATTTGTTGTTGCTTCTAAGAATTTGGGAAATTTCCTTTGACCCCAAATGAAAAATTAATTAACAGGTTAATGTTTCGCATAAACTGATTTGCTGTTATTTCTGATTGATTATTTAATGCTTGTGTGATTTTCTTTTCATATTTAATTAACATTAATTTATTTATATTATATTTAACATAAATTACAGTAGATAAACTACTTAAACGAGCATAAAATCCTTAAAATAATAGAAACATTAATTCCCATTTTCTATCACTCGTGGAACTTATTCACATGCATGTATGTGTATGTGTATGCATACATGCAAATATTCCAAGGCATCTAATCAGCAATTCATTTTCTCTCATTTCTCCTATACTCAGATTCCTATAAGAATGTCGCAAGTGCACATACTGCCATCCCCCTCACACATACTTACTGTAGCCATGTCAATTTTTCCACACCAATCCTTCAGTGTGCGCTCAGTTAACGGGATCAAAAGCAATGCAACCAATGGTATGAGTTTTGTGGAGACATACGTTCCACTAGAATACACAAGGAGCGCGCTCTGGTAGTACTTATGAATACTAAGCGCTAGCAAAGCAAATATCGGCCACGCTCTCATAATCCACAATGTTGACTCTCTTTTTGTATGGCTTCTGTCTCAAGTCTCCCCCTATTTTTCAGTGTATTAATTTCCTTTTATGCAACTCTAGAATAAATTAAATAAATGGAAGCTGCACGGATTAGTTTCGATTAGCTGCGTATGAAAACTTTTGCTTTGATGCATTTTCATTAATTAAAGAAAAAAGTGCGATTAAATAAAGCACAAGGGAGTATTTAACGTAATTTCCTGTTCGCTGATTAATGAAATGCATTGAACGTGCGACTTCGCATGAACTTTTAATTAGAATGCAAAATGATTAATTAGCTAAAAGTGCAGTGAAAACCATTTGCTCAAGAAGCAGTTGATGGAGCTACAAATTTAAATCAACGAAAACAATTTGGAAATTAGCTCAAAACTTTTTATTTCTATCACATTCATTTAGCTGCTTCGCCGCTTCTGGCCACAAATTTGAGCCAAAATTTATCCTTGGGCGCCATCTGGAAGCCCACGATATTGTTCATCATGTCAATTGTAGTTTTTTTGCAAGGCAGCAATTCGAACTTGCTCAGCAAATGATATAGAATTGATTTGACCTCCATTAAAGCCATGCGATTGCCTGCAGGAATTTGTTTTAAATAAAAAATGTATTAATTAATTAATTATACAAATATTATATTAATTTAATTTATCTTTTTCCTATGCTCTACTCACCTATGCAGTTGCGTTGCCCGACGCCAAAGGGCAAATATGTAAATGGCTTGATTTCATGTTTATTTTCCTCCGCAAAACGTTCCGGCTGAAACTTATGGGGCTCGGCGAAATACTCGGGATCGTAGTGCAGGCCTGTAATGGGTATAAATATGCGATCTCCCTTTTTCAGTGACACGACAATCTCATTGTTGTCATCCCGTATATCGATATCGGCATTGCAGCTCCGATCCGTTAGAGGTGCCGGCGGCCATTTGCGCAATGCTTCCGATACCACCATATCCATATACTTCATTTTCATTAGACTATCGTAATCGAGGGGCTTTCCCTCCAGCTGTTGCTCGACCTCTAAGATCTCTTCATACAGCTGCTTTTGCACCCTCGGATTCATGCACAGTTCGTAGGCGGCAAAGCACATGCACGTGGACACCGTCTCAAAGCCCGCAAAGAAGAAGAGCAGACATTGAGCCAACAGATCGTCGTCTGTGAACTTTTTGCTTGACTCCTCCGATGCATTCGCCTTGCGTTGAGCCTCCATTAGCAAATGTATCATATCAGGTCGAACAATCGTATTTTCCTTGCGAAATTTGATGGCCCCAAAGACCTGCAGGCATTGATCAGGTCGTACATCGCCCGCATTTTGCTGCCCGTAAAGGTGGGCGATAATATATTTCGCATCTCACGCCATTCGCGATCTTTCAGCTGCACCAGACTCTTCGACAGCAGCGTCTGAAACTGCTCCGATCCCGAATGATTGACAAAGTGATCAAAATCCTTAACGCCTACGCTCTTGATCAGCTCCAGATCGCGCACCACAAATATCGGATCGCGCAGAAAGTATGAGCCATAAACTTTGCAGTCTTTAAAACGCAAATACTGCTCGATTTGCTTGGTCAGGTGCGGAGCCAAACCAAAGAGTTCCTTGAAGCGCATATTACCCAGCAGCGGAGTAGGCTTCTCATGGGGTATACCCCGCTGCTCGAACGTCTGATACTTGGCCACCGACCATTTGTAGAGTAATGCGGACAATACGATCACGAGTGTGCAGAAAATCAAAAACATTTTGTTATTTTTTAGCTCAACTGAGCGCTTCGAGTGCTCGACTGTAACTGAATCGCTCAATAATCATAACAAAGTTCTAATATGACCTCATCTTGCTCTCTTTCTCTCTCTCACCCACTGCCGCTACCTTTCGCTCTCTCCATTTTTTTAATATAGCATTTTCAATGTCAGCTCTGTGTCTCTCTCTTTCTCTCTCGCACCCGCTGCCGTTGCCGCCTGCCTTTCGCTCTCCCCATTTTTTTGATATAGCATGTGAGCTCGGTGTCTCTCTCGCACCCGCTGCCGTTACCGCCTGCCTTTCGCTCTCCCCATTTTTCTTATATAACATTTTCAATGTCAGCTCTGTCTCTCTCTCTCTCACTTACGCTCTCTTACGCACTTGACTGTTCACGCCTTCTCGCTATTTCTCACTATTTTTTAGCATTATAAATACTCTAAGCAGTAGAGCTTTTATGTTCGATCGAACTGGTTTGACAATAGCTGAAAAACTTAGAAATTCCATATATTTAATATGTAAAGCTTTATTTTTTTATACTTTTATTTTAAATACTTTTCTTCTTTACTATTGGCTTCAAAATGTTTTCGTGTGTTATTATTTTAATTTATAATAAAATTTAATTTTATAACTAATTTATACTAACATTAAATTTTAGGGTATAGAAGCATTTACTTGCCTACAATTTTTTTTCTAAATGAATAAAAAAAATTATTTACTCAATAGTTTAACGTGAAACCCGTTGGGATTGCAAATTCCTCAATGTCCACTTGAAGGCGTCCAATGGAGGCCGTTGCCCGCCTGAAACTAACTAAATCTCAGTTAAGAGCTACGTAAAATTATATGTATATGAACAAATATACATCAAATATATATATGTCAAATATAATATATATCTAATACACAGCTCTTCTACTAGTTGTTGCCTAATGGCTGTCAGAAATGAGCATACCCTATGCGAGGGTATAAATAGATAAGCAGCCAAATAAAAAGCAAAACAATTTAAGAGAGATATTGGACTTATAGCGATTTCGTATCTGTAAAATTGTTGTTTACAATTTACTGTGCGTTTGTTTGTTAGCATGATATATACATATATAGATATGGTATCTATATAGTATATAGTACAGCACAGATAGGCTATAAATGCTTCACAATTTTATTCAAACATCAAAGTTAACTCCAACAAACTGTGATACATATTGAAAGCTAAAATTTGTTTTACACTTTTCTGATATTCTATATAGATATTCGTATTATCGTAGGCCATATTAATATACAATCAATAATATAATCGTACAGTATTCTAATCTTATCTTATCTTTTTTATAGCAAATGCACTCAATACACATTTCACCATAAGCTCAACATTTTGCATGATTTTTATTCCACTTTTCTGGGCACCAATTTGAGCCAAAACTTTTGCTGCGGCTGCATATGAAAACCCTTTAAGCTATCCAGCATATTCTTAACCGTTTTGTCAGTTGGCAACAATTGAAATTTACTAACTAAATGATAGATGATGGATTTGATTTCCATGAGTGCCATGCGATTGCCTGAAAAGAGAAATGAAAATGTATCAAAAATTTATTATTATTTATTAAGTATTTTACCTATACAACTGCGCGGACCCACGCCGAAAGGTAAATACGTAAAGGGTTTTATATTCGCTTTGTTCTCATCCAAAAAGCGTTCGGGCTTGAAGCGTTCGGGTTCTGGAAAATATATTGGATCGCGATGCAAGGCTATAATCGGTATTTGAATAATGTCGCCCTTTCGAAACTTGGCCAACAACTGCCGATTCTCGTCGTACATGTCTATATCTTTGCCGCACTGCCGGTCCAAGCTGAACGCTGGCGGCCACATTCGCAGCAATTCTGATATAACCAAGTCCATATACTTCATCTTGGCCAACATGTTGTAGTTGAGAGGTTTACCCTGCAGCTCCTGCTCCACGGCCGAAACTTCCTCATACAATTTGGATTGTACTTCGGGATTCCGACACAGTTCATAGGTGAGAAAGCAGAGACTAGCCGACATCACCTCGAAGCCCACAAAGAAGAAGAGCAAACACTGCGCCAACAGATCCTCATCATTGAATTCGGCGTGTTCCGCTGAGCTCTCCGATTTGCCATTCTGTTGAAACTGTCGCTTGGCCTCCATGAGCAAATGTATCATATCGGGTCGTATTATCTTGTGTTCCGTGCGATATTTCATGGCATCAAAGACCAGACTATTAAAATAATCGATTTTCTTGCCATCAAAGAGTTTGACGCGCAGAGCCTGAAAAGCGTCGACATTTTTATATCTAAAATGAAATTATATAAAATGATCAAACTCTACCTTCATCAACCTGGGCATAATGCCATATAGTAAAACCTTGACTAAGGCTAGATACGAGAAATGTGTCACGGAGTTCGCTAGCGTATAGAACTGATTATTTTTATCCACAAACGAATTGACCTTAATGCCAAATGCAGCCGATGCTATAACATCATTGGCAAATCGGCCAAAATAATCCTTCATTTCCAGTTCGATCTCCTTTTCGTTCGACTTGAGCAGCTCTGCCTCTATGTAACGCCCACCCTCCACGCTGCACTCATTGATCAGCTCGAACATGGCCTTCAGCTTGCTACCCGTGAATGATGGCGTTAGCGTATTACGCATTTCCCTCCATTTGTCGTCCTTCAGGCCACTGAGACTTTTCGAGAAAATGCTTTCACCCGATTCGGGTATCATTGGGCGATGGTTGATGAAATGCTCAAAGTCCTGGATGCCCACGCGTTTGATCAGCTCGACATCGTGCAGCACAAAGAATGGTTCGCGCAGATTATAGAAGCCATAGATCTTGTGTTTCCTCAGCTCGGTGCTCCGTTCGATGAGCATCTTCAGAAAGGACTTGCGTCCCAGCAACACTCGCAGACTCACATTTCCCAGAAATGGCTTCGGCTTGTCGCATACTATGCCACGCTCCTCGAATGTCCTGTATGGAGCCATCGCATATTTATAGAGCAGCGCAAGCAGAACCAGCACAAAGGTCAGGATTATCAAAACCATTTCGAACTGAATGCATCAGAAGTACGACCATAACTAAATATATAATCCAACTAAATAGAATGTCGATATCTAATTTGTTGGATACTTTGAAAGTACTCACACGCACTAAAGGCATTAACTAAATAATAGATAATTATCATATGTAAACAGTGATTTATAGGGTATACCAAAAAATAACCCTCTCGAAATAAAAGTTCACTTAGATATTGGCAAAATTTTACTCTTATGTACAAATTATTTAATTTTTATAAATAAAAGCATTTTTTTAAATAAATAAACTTAAGTTTTTTGTTTTACAGAACTTTTTTGATACTATAATTTTATTTTTATTTGAAAATATTTTTTAATATTTAAATTATATATTAATAATCTTTTTATATAAAAACATATTTTTTTATATACTTATTTTTCTATATGAATAAAACAAATAATTTTTAAAACTAAAAAACTAAATGTAACATTTATAATTATTAAGATAATTTATTTTTTATACATCTAATTTATTTAATATTATAAAATATATTTTCCGATAAAAATTAAAAATTACGAAAATGAATTAAATAATTATTAGATATACATATTAATTTTATAAATTAATATTAATAACCTTTAACTTAAATATGCAAATTACATAATGAATTTGCCGTCGACTTTTGACTTAAATGTAAAGGAAAATTTGTAGAGCATTAAAATATGAAATTTGTAATCTGATTCTGTTGATATTGGACTTATCAATTTATCGCTGGCTATGAAAATAATATTGTTTAGTTTTGCCTAATCAAGTGAATGGTAAAATTTCGTTGATTGCAGAGCAAATAAATAAACATCCATATTGATATATATATATGTAAATAGATATATAATATGTATATAGATATATATATGCTAATATATCTACTACATATTTGCATTAGCTTATTACAGTTCCAATTATCAATGCAACCAAATGATAGAAAATTATCAAAAGCGGCTGATTGCTCAGCTGTAATTATATAAACATTGTCTATAAATTAGACTATGATAGAAACATTTGCGACTCGCATATTTCAACACACACAAAAATGTGTGAAAAAATGTATTTGTTTAGCAAAAAGCTGCAGTAAAATGCAAATTTATATAGATTTCCATATTTCCTTTTTTGGCAATCGATAAAAATGATGCAAATAAAAATTAAGCAAAAAATTGTATAACATTTCAGGTATTCAATAAAATGCCAAGTCATGTTCAACAATTTGGTCTATTGAAAAATGCATTAATGCTGAATAAGTGGGCTATAACTGGCTACGTTATACACGCTCAAAGGTAGTTCAAATGAGTCTAAGAGATACATTTATTGCGACTATCAGTTTATTTTCAGATTAGTATATATATTTTTTAATTTTATTTATTACATCAGTCAATGCTTTATATATATTTTTTAGTATATATATTTTTTAATATTATTTATTACATCATTGAATGCTTTTATATTATTATATTTTATATTATTATTATTTTATATTATTATTATTTTATATTATTATTATATTATCTAAGCCCCAAAGACATTCAGTGTACACTATACAAATTTACTGACTTACGCTTTGAAGATGTTTTAGGACAGGCATTTCTTCACCTTACCAAGGCACTTAGATAGATGACTTCAACAGGGCTATACCCAATTGAGATTTGCAGTCGATAACAAGTCTAACTCTGTAATTTCTTCAAGTCTCACTCAAGAGAGCTTTCATGTCTACCTCATTCCATTGAAGGAGCATTAAATCAGTTAAGATTCATCTTGTTTAAAATCTAACTCTCTCCTCTTAACCTGTAAAGTATCTTCAATAAAACTAATATGCTCCCTCTTCACTATATAAACGAACATCAAGAAATTGCGCCTGGGAGCGCTTGCAAGGCGTGGCATGAGTCAAGCAAAATTGCAAAATTATTTTAACTATTGCATAGCCCCAGGCGCAGATATAAAAGTCAGCCGACTGCATTTATCGACAAATAGTTGAGTGGCAAATATGCTTGAGGATATTCAATTGATTTATATGAACGTGCGAATATTGCGCTTCTGGGCGCTGCTCTATGATAAGAATGTGAAACGCTACATTTGCCTAACGCTGTCCATTTTCCATGTGCTCACCCAGATCTTCTACATGTGCACCACGAACGAGGGCATTACGGGCATTATCCGCAACTCCTATATGCTCGTGCTCTGGATTAACACGGTGCTGCGCGCTTATTTGCTGCTGTTCGACCAGCAGAGCTACATCCAGCTGATCAGCGATCTGAGAAGCTCGTACTATGAGCTGGAGCGCATGGATGATCCCTATATAGGCTACCTCTTGGCTAAGGTGAATCGACAGGGTCAGCTTATGGCACGCGGCAATCTCTTCTTTGGCCTGCTCACCTGCATTGGCTTTGGTCTGTATCCGCTCAGCTCCAGCGATAGAGGTGAGCGATAAATAGCAGAAAGTGGAAGAAAATTTTGGATAAATTTTAGTAAATTTAAAGTGCCGACGAAAATTCTTTATAAATTTTTATATTTTTTATATATTTATATATTTTTATAATTCTTTATATCTGTCGTAGATTAACTAAAGCTGTTATACTTGCTACAAAAGCTTTGCTTTTCTTAAATGAGTCAAAAGCTTCCTCTAATGTCACTAGCACTTGATCTAAAGACTTTGCTTCTCTTGCATTGATCCCAAGCTTCAAAGCTTCAATACCTTCCAAATTTAATTATCTTTGATCAGTTCCTTTATGCTGAGAAATTCATTCGAAGCGTCAAATAATGTCAATGGCACTTGATTGGATCAATCCAAAGCTTCAACTAATGTCATTAGTTTGTAAATCTAATTGCCTTTGAGAACTTACTTCAAAAGCTTCTCTTCTCATAACTTAATGCAAAGTTTCAACTAATGTTATTGCCTTAAGAATCTAATTCATTTGCCCAAATGCTTCAGAAACTAACGTCATTATCCGACAAAGCTTCACTTCTGGACAATTCATCGAAAGTCTCAACCTATATCATTATCTGAAAAATTTGATTAGCTTCGACCAAAATCTTCATTAGCATAAATCCAAAGCTTCAACTAATATGATTATCTTGCAAGTTTAATTACCTTGAAGCACTTAACCGAAATTAATCCAAAGCTTCAACTAATGTCATTAGCCTGCGCGCATGTAATTACCTTTGAGCACTTGCAGTTTTGCCCTTTGGCAGCAAAATACCGGGCGTCAATGAATATGACACACCCTACTATGAAATTTGGTTCGTCTTTCACATGCTCATCACACCGATGGGCTGCTGCATGTATATACCCTATACCAGTCTCTGCGTGGCCTTCATTATGTTCGGCATTGTGATGTGCCAGGCGCTACAGCATCGTTTGCGCTATCTCAAGCATCGTCTGCTCAACCCCCAGCAGCTCGCTCTGGAAATAATCGAATGCATTATCTATCATCAGCGGATCATTGAGTAAGCTGTAAAAATAAATGCACAAGTTTTGTAGATACCAAATGCACTTTCCGTTTAGCTACATACAGACCATCAATAAGCTGACTACTTATATATTTCTGGTGGAATTTTTGGCTTTCGGTGCGCTGCTCTGTGCGCTGCTCTTCATGCTTATGTTTGTAAGTATGTGTGTGTGTGTGTGAAAGGATTTGCTGTGCTCGTATGTACGCCACTTGTATACTTTCGTCTAGGTGGACTCATCAGCCCATATAGCCATTGTGAGTGCGTATATAAACATGATACTCGCCCAGATATTGGCACTCTATTGGTATGCCAATGAGCTGAGGGAGCAGGTGAATTGATGCAGTTGCCTGCCTGCCAGGATGCCTACCTCTAACAGCTCTCGAGCTTTTCGCCCTCTTTTTTAATGTATTCCAGAATCTGGCCATCGCCGTGGCTGCCTATGAGACCGAGTGGTTCACGTATGACGTGAAAGTACGCAAAAATATACAATTTATGATATTGCGAGCACAGCGTCCAGCATCGGTAAGAGTTGCAACTGTAGATAATTAACTAAACTGTTGCTAATTGATTACCTTCGCCAGGTATTGTTGGGTAATATACGACCCATAACATTGGAGTTGTTTCAGAATTTACTGAATACAACTTATACATTCTTTACGGTACTTAAACGTATTTATGGTTGAAGTGCTCTCAAATTGCGCATACGACACGTGTGCGTTAAGTATTTAATATATATAAAAATAATATATTCTAGAAAATATTAATATTGGGTAGTTTCAAAGTAAAATATTTCTTGTAATTATGGTTTTTAAAATGTTATTATTACTGTTGGTTTTTAAAATATTTTTAGATATGCGTATACTTGATGTTTGAAATAAATTTATTTTTTAAATATTTTCCTCATTTCCAAATAAGTTTTTATAATTAATGTATTATTTATATTGAATAGCTGTTAATTTATAGCACTCCACAAAATCCTTAAAATATTAATTGCGTCCATTTGTAACTAATAAAAAGTTTTTTATATATATAAATTTATATCTTTTATCCACACATAATAAATATTTAAAAGTTGCATAATTAAATAGTTGGCATGCCTTGCACAATTAATGCGCATTGTTTTTTATAATAAATGCCAAATAACAACAATAAATATGCTTTGATTTCATTTAATAAATGGCTGTAAAAAACTTATGTTCAAAATATTTAATTTGTCAGATTTTTTAAGCTTTCATTTCAGCTTTTTTTATTCATTTATATTTTTATGAAAATACGAGCGCATCATTTGTGGTTGTGTTTGCATTTATTCTTTTTTTATTGTTTTTTTTTTGTGCCCCTTAAGCCCACTGTAAAAAAACGGAGGTAGGTGTGGCGAGAGAGCGATAAAAATTGTTTGCTGAAGTTGTCAACGCTGAACGCGACGCTGAATTGTCGACAAACTTTGCACCATACTGACTTTGAGTGGCATGCCCGAGCACAGCCACCTGCAGCTGTTGAACTCAAAGGTGCCAGCGAAAAAAACAACGACTGTCAGCAGTTGTAAGAGGAACAAAAGCAACAACAACAGCAACAGTCGAATACATTTCAATCTAAAAACAAATTAAAAACAAAACTAAACTTGATTTGCGTACTCTTTAAAATAATTATATCTGTATTAAATTAGCAAATATACTTAATATACTTTAATATTTTTATATATCTTTAAATAGTTTTAAAATATTTTTGAAATATTTAATAATTTGTAATTATAAAATATATTTTTCATATTTTTTTTACTATATATATAAAATATATTTTTGCTACATTTATAGGGCAAAAGAGAGTACTCAAAACTTTTTTACAAATATTTGCTTAAATTATTATATTTTATATATTTTTATATTAATTTTATTTTGATTTAAAATTAATTCAGTAAATGCAGAAAAATATTAAAAAAAAAAGAAAGCTAATGACAATTCAAGGTAAAAAAAACTAAGCAAAACTAGCTAACAAATTTTGATATAAATAAAACAAAACTAATATACTCTTAATATTTCATAGATGATTTCAATTTTACACCAAAGTGTCGAGGAGATTTTAAATGCATTTTATTTTATATAACCATTACATACCATATGTATATCAAATATATTTAATGACTTTTTAGTAGAAACTAAAGCCAGCCATGCCAGAGTTGTCGTATATCTCGTTGATGGAGCAAAGATTGATGAATTGCGGATTGCGTCCGGTGCGGCAATCGACTGCCGCTCTATCGCCGCTCTGATAAACGGGCGCATTCACATCGTTGCCCCGGACAAAGTTACAGGTCATATACTGATGCGTACTGAGCAGCCATTGGCCGGCATTGTTGCTGACGTTGCGCGTCTGACGGAGTATGCCGCACCCGACATGGGTGGTGCTGTCCCTGACCAGTTGTGTAAAGTACGCAATGCACTTGCTAATACGTAAATGTAAAATTCTTTCGAAGTTATTCAGGACAACAGATAGTCAAACTCTGCGACAGTTACCTGTGCGCGCATCTTACCTGTTAATGGGCGGACTGTAGGCAATGATATCGCGCATGCTGCACTCTTTGTATTCGGCAAACATTTGCTCCAGCGTTGCCTTGATCACCTCGTCCTCGGTGTGGTATTCGACGGGATCGCTTGAATCCTTGCCACCATTTGGCGAGCCCTGCCAACCGCCTTCGGCCACCACCTGGGCGACATTGCGAAACTGATCGCTGTTGCGGCAATGATCATTGACCAAAGCGCATCGTTTCACATTCAATTCCGCAAAGCTGGCCAGCTCCGGGTCCCATTGCAGTGTGGCCATGCGTGTGGCAGGATTGAAGCCGACCAGGTCGCCGCGTGCAATCCGATCACGATACTCATTCAATTCGTTGAGAATCATATTGCGTCTAGCTGATGTAATACGCACCACATGCGCATCCGGACTGCAGTTTTCCGCCAGTTCCTGTAAATGTCGTGCCCACATTATTGTCGACGGCTGGTTTGGCTTTGATCATTGAACTTACACCAAAATTACTGCAGGCAATATGCTTCTCGGGGCCCGGACAGAGCGCAGGATCGCAATAGTCAAAGGCCGGAATCCTTGGCCAAATGCAGCACAACTGCCATAGTGCAGCCAGCAGCCAGTTAGTCCACAACATTTCGCTAACGCAGCCAATTTGCTCAGCTCTGGGCCCGGCGCACACTCTCTTATAGAGTTGGCCAGCAAATCAATTTGTCGCCAAAGCGTTGCTATCTCACCGAACTAAACTGGGCACGACCAACCAGAACCACTCACCCGCCACACCTTCAATTGGCCACGGTCGTGGCCACAGCTACATAATATTAAAAAAAAAAATCTATTCGTTTCTATAATACACTTTATTGTTCCTCCTTTGTTCATCATGTAATATATTCTTTTATTTTTACTTATTTCAAATTTGTAAATTTAATTTTCCTCTTTTTATTGTTTGTATTTTTACTTTAGTTTTATTCTTTAAATATTTTTAAATGATAATTTATTTCTATTTTAATAGGAATTAATTTTCTAATTGCTTTAATTGTTATTATTTTTCAAGTTTTTTCTGCTCTAATATATTTTTTTATTTATCGTTTTTGCGACAATTTTTAATTTTATAATTTTTTTTAACTTTTATATATATTAATTTTTTTCAATAATTTTGTAATAATTTTATTCCTTTTCTATTATTATTTTTAAATTTTTATTAACACATTGTTTATTTTTTTTCTTTTTATTTATTAGTATATTTATATCCTTCAATTAATTTTATGCATTTTTTACACTTTTTACATTTTTTTAACTAAAAATGCGTGTTTTATATTTTTTATAATCTATTTAAAATTTTTATAGGTTTCTTGGCGTCTTTTATTTAAATTTCCTCTGCTTTCATCTATAATATTTATGTTTTTTTGTTACATATATATTTATAATTTTTAATCTTTATATATATTTATCTCTCTATTCTTCTGTCCTATTTTTTTAATTTATCTAGCATTAAAATATATATATATATATTTTTATTTATTTTTTATTTATATTTTTATTTTTGTCTCTTGGTTGCAAAATATTTTCTTTTTTATTAAAGTATTTTCGTTATATTATTTATCGTTGGATAGATACTTTCTATTTGACGAGCGTAATTCGCTGATTGCAACATCATAAGATTTCGAAACTCAGCCTCAGTTTGGGACGGTACATAATTATTATCGACTTCCTCGTCGGGCTTGCACAAAAATTCATGTATATAATTCCTTCCCTTTTGGCAGCCAGACGCTGGTATTAGACTTATTTGATAAGGTGTTAACTCATTAACATTGGCCCGATTCAAATTGCAAACCAGAGCCGCTGAGATGAACAATTTCTTTGCATTCCTCGACGCGCGTAACGCACAGCCAATTCTAGTGGCATAATCTTCGAGCAGAGCCGTATGGTGACCCAGGCAGGTGTTGGTCCTAAAATGACGATGAACAAAAAATCAAAATTTAATAATGAATTTTAATTTTCAATTTTTTAATGAGTATTTTTATACATCTTTTCGTAAAGAAAAATTTTAATTCATGAGAGCGATATATATCGAAAATTCATTATTGTATTATTAGTACTCACCCCGGCACACTTGGCACTAATTTACTTTGCTCATTCATTCTACAACCTAACACATCCCTAAGCCATATGTTCACTAGGTCGTCGAAAATTAATTTAACGGTTGAAGTCGGATGCATCCTGAGCGATATTTCCACAGTGCTCACAAAATTAAATTCCATCGTATTGGAGCAGTATTTGCCACGACTATCGCAGTGATATGCCAGCGTTCTGGATGATGAGGCCAGAGACTCGTCCCACATGAGGGTCGCCATTCTAGCTGCCGGTGGAAAATCATATAGCCCACTGGCCACCAAGCTGCGCATCATATTCACGTGCGTCAATAAGTTATCCTTCAGATCGCCGTCAATGGGAATCAATTCGAATTTTCCAGCTCCGCATCTCTTATTGAATTTCTGAAATACATATTGATTTACAGAAATAGACACTTAAATTAGCTAGAGCTTAAATATGAGTTTTCACCTTTGTGAAGGCGCACATCACGTGTTTTGTATGTGGGGGGCAGAATATCTGATGTGCACACTTTGATGCAGCCATGTTGACAACCAACTGCAGTCCTAGCAGTTGCAAGATCAAATTGTATCTCATTTTTCCTTCTACTGACAACGTGGTAAACAGTCTATAGATTGAAAATCAGTGATAATTTATTGACTAGAAATATAGAACTTCGATTTGTCGTGCTGAGCTAAAACGCATTAGCCCAATGAACCATGCATTGCTGACGATAAGCTCCTTAGCTATACTTAATAGAGCATGCCGAAGTGAATTTCTCTAGGTAAAATACCAGAGTAGGAATTGTACTACTTCACAATATCCTGTACTTAATGTAGAGCAGCAGTTAAATAAATATTTTGGCGTTTAATAATAAAGGAATTATTATATGTAAATATAGATAACGACAAAGGGACGAATGTATTTATGGAATCAAAATAGATAGAGGAGCATATAAAAATGCTGTCATAGACAGACTCAATAAAATCAAACATAATCAATGCGTTTTAAAAGGTATATGTATAAGGCTACGGTAGCAGCATGGCTTTGTTCTTTTTACTCTCAAATTTGTAACAGATGCTTTGTTCCTATGGAATAGGCTAACATCGAAGCAGAGACAAATTCGCTATACTTTTTTAACAGACCTCGCATATAAGTATATTAGTATAAGTATATTAGGTAACTTTGAGCAGTTCAAAAATGTTTCAACTATGAATAAAATCAAACTTTAAGATCTATTCCAAAGAATAGGTCAAGCCAATTATTGTTTACAAAAATAGTAGTATTAACATCTTCAAATAAAATTGTAGTTTTTGAAGTAAAACATATATAAGCAAGGGTAAGTGATCCCTTAAGGCACTGCTTATGATTTTATGAATAACCTAAACTGCCTAAGATAAAGTCTTAATCATGAATTTCAATAACACTTTTTGCCTCAAATACATTTGTTTCAATATACTGACAGCTCTACAATAGAAACTTCAATTATAAATATATAGCTTTATATATTAGTCTACCAAATATTAAACATATAATAGCTGCAAGGCTAACATAAAACTTCCTCAAACACATTCTAATTTAATACATTATTTATCCAATACATCAGCGTAATAAATAATAACACTCAGCACAGAGTCTAGTTCAATGAAAGTGCACAGAAATATGCATTAATTAATTGCATAACATGCATTTCATTAATTTATTAACAAAATTATTTATGATGTTTTTAATGTACTTTTAGTGTTTTTTTCATGTTCTATGTTTGTTGTCTTACAGAGTAGATAATAAAAATTAAAATTAAGTTTTACTTAATGTATGTACATCACAATTAGTTGTGAATTGGTTTCAAATACAAAAACAAATCGATGGCTCGACACTTTGGTAACTTCAAATCTATATATATATATATAACTATAGCTAATCATTAAAAGCAATGCTAAAGCGTATATATGTAACGTAAGTGTGTGAGCTATTAACAACTCAGAAATGATCGCGATAAAGAGAAAAATTCATTCATTTCAACAGAATCGATGATTTACAATTGTCCAGAAAGAAACTTTGGTCAGACGATTCCTATTGAGCATAGTTGGGATTATATGGCATTTGCTTCTCATAAGTACCGGGCATAACGCTCGGCCCCGGATTGGCCATGGCTGTGTCATATGAAGGCGGTGCCATGTTGGCAGCACCGGCACCCGGTTGCATCATGGGCGGATATACTCCTGCTGGCACATGCGGTGGCATGCTGCAATTAAACATAAATGACGTTAGACATGATCCACATGTTTGTAACTAAGTGTTATATTTACCCAGGCATTGGTGGCTGCGCTCCGGGCATGGGCATGCCCATGGGCATCTGTACGGTCACATTGCTATAAAGAATAAGAGAAGAAGACTTGCTATAGCTTAAGCTGGCATTAAGTGCTGTGTGAGACTTACCCTGTGGTCTGGGCGGGATAGGGTGCTCCATAGGTGTTCGGTTGATAGGTTGTGGCTGGTATCTGTGTAACTGGATAGCCGCCAGGAGCTGTGTGCGTGGCCGACGTAACCACAACGGGCGCTGGAAGCAAAGAAGCGAATTCGCAATCGACATTAAAATCAAATTTACAATCAAATCAATTCCCTTTAATCAATAGCACACAATATTTTCTAGATAAGCAGATGAGTAATTGGGACTTAAGTTCGATAATTAGTCTGCGAATGTTTACCAGGGCGTTCGCTTAGCACATAGCCAGCATTGGCGGCATTTTGTGCTCGCCGTTTTGCATACACAATCACTGAGGTAATCACAAATATAATAAATCCTATACTAAAGACAATTAAAATTTCAACTAGCATGCTGACGTTCGACTAACGATCTCTTTGGACAACCAGTGAAAACTGTTTAGCTCCGGCCTGATGCAGCACATTCAATTGGAACAAAACACTTTAGGCATTTATATTGATAGATTGATAAGAGAAGTATATAATCTTGCTACCTTTTAATCAACACAAATGCCAGTGGTTGTATCAAGTTGGTAAGTATCAGGTAAAAATTTCACATAGTATGTATATTTCATATTTAAAATTGGTATTAAAACTAAGTTAGTTAACAGAAAAAATAAAAAAACAATTTATAAAGGAAAACGTCTAAGCTATGCTATATAGTTTTAAGCAAATATATTTATTATTTACATATTATATTTTATATTTTATATTTTATATTTTATATTTTATATTTTATATTTTATATTTTATATTTTATATTTTATATTTTATATTTATAGTTTATATTTTAGATTTTATATTTTATATTATATTTATAGTTTATATTTTATATTTTATAGTTTAATTTATATTTATATTTATATTTTATATTTTATATTTTATATTTTATATTTTATATTTTATATTTTATATTTTATATTTTATATTTTATATTTTATATTTTATATTTTATATTTTACATTTTTTATAATTTTTTTAAATTTAATATATTTTTTTTCTATATAATTGACCACAAAAAAGAAAATAGAAAATAATTAAACTGTAGCTTTGCTGTATATCTGCTAGTCGATCATAACAACAAACTGTTATCACAAGTTATTCAACTGGTTTAGAACACTGAATCACTAGCAAAGAAGTGAAGCACTTTATTTGAAATTGTATTCATTTGAAAGGCAGCAATGAGAGAAGAACTTGACACAACTCTTCAAACAGAACAAGTGTTGTAAATTTGTGATAAGGCAGGTGGGAATACAGCTTAATATGGCTATAGATTTTACCTGAGTTGGCGATTTGTTGTTGTTTATATTTTTTCGATATTATGGCGGCTGCACAGCAACCCAGTTGTAGTGCTACACCAATGCAAAAAATAATAATGAAAATTACAAAGATCTCCATTCAGTCAGAGTTCGTTGAAGCACAGCTAATAAAGGGTAAGAGTGAACTAAACTTTTATATGCCAATTTGTTATGGCTCAGAGCAGTAACAACAAAAAGACTCGGCTGATATGACAATTTGTCAATTGCCTGATAATGGGGCGGGGTTTACCCGGGGTAAAGTAATTAATTCTCAGTAAGCCCATTTCGTTGTTTCACGAAATTATTGAAATGTGAAGAACGATATATGACCTGATGATAATGATCGACATAGCAACAATTTGGAGCGCAGTTTACAGAAATGTTTCTTATAATCTGTATAGAAAATAGAGTGACAAAGTGCCAATTGATAAAACTAAGCACTAGAAGATATATAACAAAACCTAAAATAGGTAATTTCAATTATTTTCTATATTTATCAAATATTTTGTAATGTGAAAAATGTTTTTTGTGATTAATTTTGAAACGCCGATAAAGGTTTGTTTGGCTATTAAAAATGAAATTAGTTATCAGTTCAACTGATAAACAATTACAAAAAATAAATAGAAAAAACGAGCTAAATAAAAAAAAGTACCAAAGTAATATTATCTTTCAGTTTTGCACATGTAATCCTCTTATGGACAGCTATCAATTACACATACACAAACACACATATATATATATATTTATATATATATATATATATATATATATATATATATATATATATATATATATATATATATATTTATATATATATATAAAGCGCTACGTCACGTTGAACACACCTGCGCCCTTCATCAGCTGCGCTCGCTGATTGCGTCCGCGCGTTAAGAACACCGCGCACGAGGTCAAAAAGAATATTGAAAGTGTAAAAAATAATATCCAATAAATGCTTGACATATCCATGGCAAAAACAAAACTAACGATACGCACGAGACAACCAACTGGGAAAGACTAACTAAATACATAGCCTCATCATAGCGATAACAAAAGGCGAAAGTCATGCAATGAATTGCGAGTTGGGCAACGGCAATTATAGTATAAGGACAATCTAAAGAATCATAAAGATATCTACACGGTTAGAAAGTTTCTACTTCATGTTAGTTTTCAAAAAATATTTCATTTATTATAAAATAAAAACAATAATTAAAAAAATGTACTATAAGGATTTAAAGGGTGTTTCTTCTTTGAGTCTAAAAAATATTAAGATATTTTTTATAATACTTTAAATAAATATTTTTTGAGTATCTAGTTTTTTTTTAATTAAATAAAATTACAAATACTATAATTTTAAAGCTCAATAAAAAAGATTACGACTAACATTAAGTGTGTTTCATTCATTCATATATATAAATTAAAATTTAATTTTAGCTCATAAAACTGTCTCAAATATTGAGATTTGTATCTGAGAGTAAAGCAATTAAGACTGCTTTAGTCGGGAGTGCGCGACTAGGAAATACCCGGAGCTACAGGAGAGCTGCAATTTCAAGCTAAACCAATGCTTCTGCTATGTACATACATGACAAACAACGCATACATGACAACACACATAGTCATACACACAACTATATACTTCAAAAGGTCAGCCATCCTTCTTCTGCATGTTACATACATATACTCAAAACCATAATACTCCGAATTTCCCTTTTCAAATGCAAATATGTCTATATCTCTCCCCTCTAGACTTACGTGCTTATTGAAATATTATTAATATATATTTATGTTTTTTTTATTAATTCTTTCTTCACTTAATTATAATGTCGACTTAACGGATTGCACTTTCTTTTGTTATTAATTAGTGGATACACGTTCACATCGTTTTCTATAAGCCAGGCGTAGATAGAAGCCAAAACACTGAGAACAAGCAATGCCAGCATTTCATGCACCACATACATCCAATCCAAGTTCATTCGTTTGGTCTGGAGTGACCAATAATCTAATTCAAAAACAGTTGCATTCATGATGAAGGCCTAAGTCGAACTCAGATGACAAATAAGAAAAACCAGCAATTGCCATACGTATATTGAAATATATATTTATATATTTATATATTAGTTTATTAATTGAATTCATTTGCTTGCATAGCGTCATAAGCATGATTAGCTACGTTTGACGTATTAAATGATTGTTCATAATATTCACAAAAGTCAAAGACTTTTGTTAAGCTAAAAGCTTTTGGACTAATGAAAGTGGCCTATTTCAATATTATATTATAATATAAATTATGCAAAGTTTCCAAGCTCTATTCCATGTCAAATATTTGTATATTTTTTAGAACATCTAATGAAATTTGCTCCCCAATTCCAATTTTATACTAACTTGCATTATCATCAATGACTTCTATATCCGAGTCATCTTCACAATCATCGATTTGAAAGTGCGTAGCATCGGGATCTCTTGCACAAGCTCTGACACAATAACGCAGCATAATTGCAATAATAATTATAATAATACTGGCAGCAATTGCGTATAAAACGTAGATTTTCTTATCAAGCACCATAAATACGAATTGAACTTAGTGAGAGCAACAAGAAGACTAAATTATTTCAATATAAAACTCGAATGCTTATATTGCAATTGTGGTTGAGCTTTTAAATATAAAAAAAAAAAGATTTCCTATATATAATTAATGAACGAACAGCGGTTTTATGAGGGTTTATATCACAGCTTGCAACTACAAAAAAAATATTTATAATATATTCTGATTCAGAGCCCAAAGATGTACAATTTTTAAAAAAATCTTGTTTAGCTTGTCACAGAATATTTATGATTTCTCTTCATACCATGGAAATTGTTTTTAAAAACTTTTCAGTATTTCAACTATTTGTAGTAGAGCTTTCCTTCTCTATATAAAGTTAAGTAAATGCTTTTTTGGCAAGATTCTTGGGATCATTTTATGTGTAATTTTTATAGCAACATTTTGCAATAATATATATTGTAAATAAAGACAAAATTTTCAACAGTCAACAGTCACAATCAATAGAATTATACCAATCGGCTGTAGCATTCATAGCCCTTAAAACGCCATCCATTGCTCGATTGTTGGCTGTGAAATTGTTAAATATCAATTAAAATTATTTAATCTCTTAGATTTTACCCATGTTATTTCACAATTTTAAAGATTCGAAATTCATATTTACAATTAGCAGTTTCGTCATCGTCTGCGTCCGCAACACGACGTTTGCTGTGGCAACAATCAAGTATACAAGAAATGCACAAAATACAATTTAACAAAAGAACAATGAGTAAAATGAAAGAAGTAATTGCCAATGGATCCATCCATGGTTTAAGATCTTCATTGAAATTGTCTCTCATTCTCTAAGCTCAAAATGCTTCCGTTTATCATAAACGAACGACTACAACTGAGCCAAGATCTGTTTGCAATCACTCTAACGAGTTTTATCTATTCAACGGTAAAACCCATACCTGTAAGTCAATGAATCAAGCACAATGCGACTTTATAGTCAGAAACTATGACGAAACAATTGCAAATTATAGATATTGAATATATAGAAAGATCATTTATGCATCAACAATTATTCTAAGCTATATTAAACTGAATATTATTTCCCCAACATTTGAGTCATTACCAAAGATTATTGACGGGAATTCCTGGAAAAATTTAATGTAATAAAAAATTGAATGAGTCAATCATTTGTATATTAAACCATTCAGAATTATATTTGAAAGCTGAATGCAAAGTGAACTGCAAGCTGTT